AAATGGAAATACCTGAATCATATTAATGATTCCGTTTTTAATTTATTTAAGGATCTCCAAACTAGGAACAGTGGTATACATCTGTAATTCGAGATCAACCTGGGCAACCCAGTGAGTTAAACACCAGCCTGTTCTATATAGCAAAACTCTGTCTCAAAAAAAAAAAGAAAAAGAACCTCCAAACTACTTTCCACAATGAGTATGCAAATCTACATTCCACCAAGAGTGTGCTAAGGTTCCTTATCCTTCAGTCTTGCCAACACTTGATACCTGTTATGTTCTTGATAACAGCATTCTAATAGGAGCGAGATCATATTTCATTATGGTTTTGATTTGCATTGTCCTGATGACTGATAATTTGAACATCTTTTTCAGATACTTCTTGGCAATTTTTATTCTCCTTCGAGAAATGTCTGTTCAAGTTCTTTGCTCACTTTTGATTAGATTACTTGGGCTTTTTTTCTATTTTGATATGTGACTCCCTTTTACTTTTTGGATATTAATCCATATCTGATACGTTGTTTCCAAATATTTTCTCTCAGGCTATGAATGGCAGTGTCGGCCTGCTGACTTCTCCTTTGTTCTGCAGACACTTTTCTTTGTTGCTGTGTTGTTAAATTTTTGTTTTTATTGGTGTATGTTTGTAATATGTGATGACTGCATTTTTTATGAGGAGTGGGGACCCATACATATTTTAATTCTTTCTTTCATTTTTAAGATTCTGTTCTTTTAATTGATGTAATCCCATTTGTTCATTTTTGCTTTTGATGGAATATTTTTTAAAAATTTAGAAAGTCCAAATCAAAGTCTACTACCTGAATGTATTTTTCTGGGAGCCTTACATTTTTAGAATCTAGGTTTATAAACTTTGACGTTACTTTTGTGTCTAATAGGGGCTCAGTTTCATTATTCTACATGTGGATAGCCAGTTTTCCCAACACAATTTCCTAGTTCAGTGGTAAAGTATTTGCCTAAGATTTACAAGGCCCTAAATTTGCCCCATCACTGTAAAAACCAGGACCTAAAATTGTTACCAATTCATAAACTCACAGTTCTGCAGGTCAGAAATCCAGGTAGGTGTCACTGCATTCTCTACTAAGGGTCTCACCAGGCTGAAATCAAGATGTTGGTCAGCCTGGGTTTTAACCTGAAGGCTCTGGGGAAGCATCTACTTCCAAACTCACTCCATTTATTGTCTGAATTCATTTTCACACACTTGCAGAACGGAAGCCCCTGGTCCCTGTTAGCTGTCAGGTCAGATCTCTTCTCAGCTCCAAAAGGCCACCCACACTCCTTAGCATGTTTCTCCTATCTTCCCAGTTAACAATGGGGTGTCAAATGTGCCTGCTGTTTCGAATCTCTTTGATATCTGCTAAGGTTTGGACCTGCTTAAAGCATGTCCAACAAAGGTTCATATGTAGCAGGTTTAGTCCCTAGTGTAGCAGTATTAGGACATGAGGGGTACTTAAAAGGTGGGGGATCCTGGGAAGCCTTTAGTTCAAGCAAGGTTGGGGCTGGGGATTTAGCTCAGTGACATAAGCGCCTGCCTTGCAAGCAGGCAGTCGTGAGTTTGATCCCTGGTACCGATAAAAAAAAAAAAAAAAAGAATTACTGGAGATCAAGCAAGGTTATGCCTCAGAGGGCACCGTGGGACCTTCCTCCCTCTCTCTGGCTTCCTGTTTCTAAAGATAATCTTTCTCACTTACACACAGTCCTGCTGTGATGTAATGCAGTCAAGAGAGCCCTTAACCAAGCTGAGCACCAGGATTCCTCAAATTATGAGCTCTTTTATTTATAATGTCACCCTGCCTTAGTTATTTCGTTATAGTCAGGCAAAAAAAGAAAAATGACCACCTTCACTTCTACTTCCTTCCCGACTGCCACCAGCAGGAGAGAGTTCTGCTTTTAAGGGCTAATGTGCTTATAATGGTCCCACTGGATAAAGCAAGATAATCTCCTTATCTTAAGGTCAATTGTGCTATATAATGGAAGGTGAGAAAAATATTTCTTTTCTCAATTCTCATAGGCTCTGAACTGGGACACATTTCTGCTAACAAAGCGCAGATCAATATGAAAAAACAAGCAGTTTTAATAACACATGCTATGTGTCACACAGGAGAGAAGCAACTTGCTGGAAAATAACTTTCAGCTGTGGCTTGAGAGACTCTCTCTTAAATATTTTAAAATAAGCAATAAATCCTAGAGTGACAAGACAAAGGAGCAATAAATTTCAAACTGTGGAGGCAAGGAAAGTTCGTGAAGGTCATAAAGTCTGCTCTCCCTTCTCTGAGGTCCTCGGCTGTCACCTCTGGGCTGAGAAGCAGCTGCCTCCAGTAAGGGAGGATTTGCTGCTCAGCCCTAGGTGAGAAAGCGGTGGAGAGGGAGACCTTTTGCTGTGTGAATCCCTATCTTGCCATCCAGCAGTGAGAGGGAAAGCAAAAGGACTCCCTGCTTTTTAAATTATCTTTAGCTACATAATCCTCCATATTTCGGGAAGAAATAATTTGGTTTCCTCTGTTATGACATAGAGATCTCTCATCACATTCCCTGCTCCGTGACAACTTAGACTTAGAAATTTCACCTTTACAAATTCTGTCTAGCATTGGACTTTAACCGAATACACTGTTGAAATCTATCCATTTACATGCACTGCCTATGTGGTATATATTTTTCTACACTGAGACTTTGCTTTTCCCCAAGGATGGTATACTTTGAAAAATCAGGAATCTGTAGATAGTCATGAATTTTAGAGAAGTGCATCTTTGAGGCAAGTAAGAAACTATTTTTCCCATTTTAGACTTAAGCACCTAAACCAAAATATTTTAAGATTTGTGCAAGACTCCATGGCTCCTGGTGGCAGAAAGAGAACAAAATTTTGTTGCTGTTCTTCACAGCATTAATACATTTAAACAAGGCTTTATTCTTGTCTGAGATTTCTCCAAAGCTGTTGGAAATCCTGCAGCCATCTCTAAGTGCTTAGCTGCTGAGTTGTTCAAGTACAAACCAGCATCTCCTGCAACCAGCCAGAGTCAGACTGTCTATGTATTTATATGGAGAAATCTCCAAAACATACTGTTTAGTGACCCCCAAAGCAAGAGGTTGTTGCAAAGAAGGATACATACCATGCTAGCTTTTCAGGGAAAAGTAAAGTAAGTGGAAATAGAAATTTCTGCATATGCTTGTGTATCCATTAAAAAGTGCTGAGAAAATGGCAAGAGACTAATTAAAATGATTACTATTTTGGGGGGTCTTTTTCTTTTTTATTGGTACCGGGGATTAAACTCACAACTGCCTGCTTGCAAGGCAGGCGCTTATGCTGCTGAGCTAAATCCCCAGCCCCTATTACTACTTTTTTAGAGCAGAAAAAAATGGTAGATGGAGAAAGGGATGAGATTAACATTATTTAGATTTATTAAATTTTGTTTTTATTTTTACCTCAAAGCATTATTTAATTAATTTTTAAAGGGTCAAAATACAAAATTAAGATTTATCTACATCATCCATTGAAAAGATTGGCACCACTTATTTCTATGAAATAAATCTCATTTGAGAAGACAGAAAAAAAGTGTTGATGACAACAAGAACGTGCTTCATCCACCCAAACAAACGAAACGTGTCTGCCAGTGACTGAGGACCACCGGCTCCCAGCTAAGCAGAAAGCAACCAGGGCACAGGTGGTGCTCTGAAGATCAGTCTTTCGAAGAGACTGATTTATATTCCCCTCTCGTTCATGTATAGACCCCAGCAACCCAACAGAGAGGCAAGCCTCTGACAGGAGAAAAGATGCCGATGCGATTGCCTTTCTCAGCTGGGCCAAGGTTTTACTCCCCTAGCTTCAGATTCACACCATTTTACTTTTACATTTGCATCCTTTTGCATTTATATCGTTTACACTTGTTAGGAGATCTGTGCTCCCTTTTATGTTAATTGGAATCGGCTGCTTTGGGCTCTGACACAGACATTCAGCACTAACAGTCAATTGCTCTCCCTCAGCCATCTGGCAAAAGAGTTGAAACCAGCAATTTTCTGAGTCAGAATTAGACTTCTGAAAATGAATGTGCACATCGGCAAACCCCCCTAGAAGAGCAGAATGAAAGAAGGAGCAGGTAGTCGGATGAGCGAGTGGATCTCAATGAGGAGGACCTGCCATACTTGAGCTACCTGACACCACCACCAGGCTCCCAGTGTGCGGAGCTGGGATTAGCTGTGTCTCTCCCACACCTCCTATCCTGAATGGTAGGAGCAGCCCCAGCTATGGCCCCTCGCCCTCCTTTCAGACAAGTGCTCCCTTAAATATCCTCACCTTAGTGCATGAGTGGCTCCTGTGACTTCAGCAAGGACTTTAGGCTTTGGCGTAGCATCTTCTGGTTCTCCGTGCTCTTTGACTCTTCGTCTCCCTTCCCTTCTGTGTTTCCTGGCTTTATCTCCTTTTCATGGTGATGTTCCCTCACCTTCCTTTCGGAGCCCATTTTACCCCAGTTACTCTCCTGTTTGCAGTCTGACACATTTTTATGCCTAAAGTCTCATGCAAGTTAGATCTTAAGAGGGAGGACTCATGCCAGACCCTTTCCCACCCTGGCTCATTTTTTTTTAATTGGGCTCATTCCAGGTTTCACGGAGGGGCACCAAACTTCCTTCACATCAAGGTAGCAACAACTCTGTGCTTGGCTGTCACTCCCTACTCCCCAACTGACATCTCCTGCCGAAGCCTCCTCCCAAAACCAGGGCAGAGCACATCAGACGCAGACACACTAGTGTCAGTAGCTCCAAAGCCATGTATTAGTGAGTCAAAAATTTATTTTCTTCCAGATCAAAGGCTGTGTGATCCCTAAATCTTCCACACATTTATGACCATGCCTGTAGTCTCTTTTGGCCCATTCTCTAGGTAGAAATTGCAAATAAACACACTAGAGCACATCAGGTTAATCCCGAGCTGCATCTGCATGCAGTTATGCCTGCCCAAGCTTTGCTCCCACTAAGCAAATAGGCCCCACTCTCACCTTCTTCCATCTTTGAGGCCCTCTCGCTCCATCTTAACTCTGGTCTTGGTGTCCACGTCAGCAGAAGGGAAGGCTGTTGTGACTGAAAGAGAACATACAAAAACTGTGTAGCTCAAGATCCGGGCAGTGTGCTCTTTCCTCCCGTATGTACCCTCTCCTTTCTGTTTCTCACTGTATTCTAAACATTTTTAACAAATGACATAACTCTAGCATATTCTTTAGATCTGTGAACCTTTTTCTTCTGTAACTCTGTGAAAACTTGCCTGTCATGGTACTGGCAGGGTACCATCATGTTGGGGTTCAGCAAGTGACACCCCTAGTTATGATGCTTCAACATGCTGAGCAAGCCAGCAACCACAAGGCCTCTGTGACTTTTCCCACTCTCCTGTTTTTCAAACTGATTTGTCTCCCGAACTGCAGAATGAGGCTTTCTCTAAATTCCCCTCTGTATCTAAAGACCAGATTACCAAAGAGGAACACAGTTGCCTTTGATGTTCTTACTAAAATTTCACTAACCAAGGAAGGTTAAACTCATATCACAGAGAAACGGATTGAAATCAACCACCAAACCAGTGCCCTGAAGAACTTTGTCCCTGCCTGTCATCTTTCACTTAGGCCTATGTTTAGCAGTTTTTCACAACTGAAACTTGAAATAAATCATTATAAAAGTGAAAGCTTCATTTTGCCTCTCACTTAGTCCAAGGATGAGTAGTCCCATTGCTTTGGGTCTACCGGAGCTCATCATGATAGGAGGATGTGGCACAGTACCCTCCCCTGAGAGAGACGAGGGTTTCATAATCATCCCTTTTGGGATGCCCTCCCACTGGGCCCACATCAAAGCTTCCACCACCTCCCAGAGCACCAAACGGGGAACCAAGCCTTTACCATATGGACTTTTGGGAGACACTCCAGACCCAAACTATAGCAGGGCCCACTCAATTCGCCTGAAGTTCATTTACTCTCCCTCTAAAAGAACTCTCCATCCCTTGTGCATGTGTGGGCACGCGCGCACATGTGTACACACACACACACACACACACACACACACCCCAATCTCCTCTCCCCTGGGAAAGGGTATGTAAGCCTCAACCATCTGGCCTTCTTTGAGTTCTTTGAGTTCATATTTTGTGTGGTTCCCGTGCACATACACATGTTAAATTTGTAAGCATTTTCACCTGTGAATCTGTCTATTTTTGAAAGCCTTAAAAACTCAAACCTTTGGAAGAAGAGGGAGAAATTCTCTTTGCCTCTACAGTTACATTAAAGTTGTTTCCCACAAGATAACATTTCACTGGCTGGTCTCTTCTATGAAATGTCTTTTCATCTCTCTATTTCTCCTTGTGATTGCAAGTTACTGCTCTTTTGTTAAGTTTTCAGATTTCCCTTTGTACTTTTATAATCCAAAAAATAATTGTTTTTTGAAAGAGTAAAATGATCCACAGTTATTAAAGTCCAAGTACTAAGCCTTGGTAAGCACGATCCAGACTAATCCCCTGAGGATGACACAGTGGAAAGGACAGTCATCAAGTTTGGCTTCTTACCTTCTTTTGGAGACTTCCCACTGTCATCAGGTCTTGATGACTTATCTGCAGACCTCACACAACTCTAAGGCACAGCACTGGCTTAGTGCTGGGTTCATGCTGCTACTATCTATTGCAATTAAGGGTGAAAACAGTTGGGGAAAAGCTATAGGTGACAGCTGTAGCAATCTCTGGCACAGGGAACAGCTCACACTGTGTAGCTCTCTTTTAAACTGCCTTCCTTAAGTTGATGTATTTATTCTCCAAACTAAGTCCAATGTTACTAAATTTCTTCAGAGACCATCACAGATCTCTCCATGCCTTTCCTGAGGTTCCAAATTCAGGCCCACTTGATTTAATTTGGAGCATCTATAATATCACGATCTTTGTATAGATCATTGCAGAGGGTCTTTTTCTGGTATTTTCCTTTTTCATTCTCAAAGGGTAACCATAATTTCAAAGGATGCAAAATGGCAGTTCATGCTATGCCAATGCCAAACAATTAAGAAACTTCACATTTAAATACACCCCCGATTTCTTGGTTATTTTGAAAAATGAGAGCTCAGGATTGGCAGTCTCCTCTGACAGTAAGAGCCTGGCATCTTTAGACAAGGCCAGGCCATTGCCTAGCCCCCAACCACACCTGACTGCTTCATTCATTTTCATGTCTTGCATGGCTGAACTGTTAGTTATAGTATCTCCGGCCACTACCTTATTTTTTACCCTAAGTACTATCCACTTCTTATCCATTCTCTCTAACATAGAGACTTCATGTGGCCTAATTCCCCTCCCCAGGTTCCTGCTTTTTGTCCAAGGTCTTTGATACTTATCTGCCTCTCCATCTTTCCATGCCTTATTTCCTATGCACACAAAGCTGCTTGTTCTTGGTCTATGCATGTTTCTTCAGACCTCTGTCTGACCTTGACCAGTTCTGTAATTACTCTCCCTTAGACGAATATGTGTCCTGACATCCAGAACTGCAGGATGCCTAGGGAATTACCTTTTGGTGTTCTTATGTTCACTTTCAGCTTTTTAACAAAGAGGTCACCGCATCAACTTGGCAAACACTGTCAGAACCCCAGAAGCTTCTTTAAGAACTAGTCAGGTATTTCAGTAGCCTAGCTCTAAACCCCTCAGGCCTGCGACCTGTGCATTCAGGTACCAAACACCTGAGGTTCAACAAAGCCCTGAGAAAATAATGAAATAAAACGGCTTGACCTTCAGGTGTAAGATCTCTCCTTTCCTTCCCAGCCTGTAGCTGTTTCAGATTATTTTTATCATTTTTCAAAGCAACAACGTTTATTTCCTCTGCTTCAGTGAGCTGTGCAGATGCAAGGTCTAGAAGGAATATTTAGTGGTCGCCATGGTTACCATTAGTCATATGAAGTTATAGCTTGTGTGCTGATTCCTCTCTTCACAGCTGTAAAAAGAAAGCATGCTCCAAAGCCAGCTTGCTGGGGCTCTGAAGTCTTTAATTCCATAAGGCATTCAGTTCCTCTGATAATTTATCTTGATGTGTGAGTTTAATTCACACTTTTAAAGATACAGGCCAATGTAGTTTCATAGGCTATGAAAACTAAAAGGGAATTTAGAGATCATTTAGCTTCAGCCTCTTATCTTATAAATAAGAAAACTGAAGCCCAGGAAAATAAAGGGACTTAATCCTGCAGAGTAACTCGATTAAAGTCATCAAAGGAGGCCTAATTAGTCAATACTGGGTCCAGGGCTCCTTCTATATCTCCTACATCTTACCTTCTAAATGAACCAGAAACTCAGTCACGTAAAGCTCTAGGAACCACAAGCACTCCCCCAGTTCTACATGAGGCAGTGAAATCTGATTCAGCACAGAGGCACCAAACTTCCTAAAATCGAACTAGAACCAAAGCCCACACATGGTCTCTAAAACTAGGCTTGGAATATCTCCTGAGTTTTAAGATTAGTTAAGACCAGATGGTATAAGCAGTCATTATTTCTGCTAGTGATGACAAGTTTTCTGAAGTGTGGCACCCCAAAAGCACTGTGTTTCTGCCTTCTTGTATCTTGTTGCTCCAGCCTCTGGGCTATGTTCAGTCAAGCTGGGGACTATGGCTCTTACTGAATTGCTTGATTCAGTAAAAGTAAAAGTATATAGAAAATATCTTAAACAAAAGGTGCTCTGAGATCTCCTCACTCTCTAGTGAGCAACTTTTTGAGTGGCTACTTGATCTTTCCAAAGCCATTTCCCATAAATTCTCCGATCCAACTATTTTCAACTTGAATTATAATAGATATAATTCCAAGTAAGGCTTTCTATTTTAGGAGCTCAATATTTAGCTAGTTTTTGGCCTAATTCACTTCAACATTAGATGATCCACACACAGAGTTCTTCACAGATCTTTCTTGTACATACCATTCCTCACTAAAAGGAACCAGTTCTTCTCAAAGGCAAGGGCTAAAACAAAGAATTACAAAAGAAGCTTTTTACTAAAAAGTTAAAAAGTGCTCAAAAAATGAGGACTTGTGTCCAAAGGACTCAGGGCAAGCTATCAGGATATTCACTGGTCAAATTTGGGGCAATTTTAGCTTCAAAGTGGCAGTATGATTATAATTTACCTAATAAAATAAGAATCCATTAATTCAAATACATAAGGTAGAAGGACAAACACAGTACAATGCTAGCTAACATAAACAGATGATATAAAAGTTGATAAGTCACTTTTTGAAGAAAACACTTTGATAATAACTCACTCAAGCAAGATTCGTCAGTAGATACTAAAACTATTAGAAAAAATACAGACAGCACAGGACATGAACTCATCTTAATATGTCTCTACACAGATTGCAAAGAGAAATGGTAATTTTACAGCGGAAACACCTGGCATTTATCACCTTCTCCCTTGCAGCCAAAGTTAATGCCATCAACAGCCCATGCATCTTGAGGGGAGACACTACAGGAACACATCAGCATCGCGGGGTGCCTGACCACTACAGCAGCTGGATTTCATCATGAGAAAACTTGAAGCAAACTGAAATTTTTTAAAAAAACATTCCTACCAAATACCTGGCCTATTTTAATTTGAAAAAATGTTGATGTCATGAAAAAGAAAACTGAGGAACTGTTGCAAATCAAAAAATACTAAAGAAATATGACAACTAAAAGTAATCACTGGTCCTGGAGGGAATTATGGTTTAGAGAGAAAACAAACTGATATAAAAACATTATTAGTATAATGTTTGAAATTTACATACTGTCTATGTATTAAATAAAAGCATTGTATCGATGGTAACTTCTGGAGTTTGATTATTACACTAGGGATCTATCAGAGATAAAAGGATATGATGAAATTAACATTCAGTGGGGGAAAGCAAAATCGTAAAAGAGGCAAAATGTTAAAAGGATTGAATCTAGATGGTATAGAGAGGTAGGCTTTTGTATTGTTCTTAAAATATGTGTAACTTTGAAATGGTTTCAACAGTAAAAATTTGAAAGCTGTCTTTAGTTTCAAGGGGTTTATGTGTAAGTAGCAGGTAAACACAGTTCATATGTAGATAATCATTAATCTATACCTTGAATTTCTAGCAA